TTACATATTTTTAAAATGGATGAATCTACATTTAATAATTCTATAAATAATTTTAATATCCTAACTCTGGAAAATAAAAAATCCATAGTCTGGAAATTTTTTGGATACTCTTAAAAAGAGATAACAAAATAATTTTCATAAATTCTGACAAATTTTACTGCAAATGTTGCTTAGAAAAGGCTACTGGAGACGATGATGATTCAAATAAGAGATTTTCACAGTATATTTTTTTAAATATTATTTTCTCATATATAGCCAAAATCTTTACTAAATTAAAATATATTTTTTGTAAAATATAATTAAAATTCAAAACTTTTCAATAAACATTAGCACAGGAAATTTGTTAAAACACTTGATTTCTGAACATAATATTAAAGTAGATACTTCATCAAAATCGCAAAATTTAAAAAAATATTTTATATCCAAACCAAAATTCCAGACAAATTGTAAAACCTCAAAATGGCTTCTAGCAAGAAATTATGTGTTATTATGTTGTGCTTACTTATTTACCTTTTCAATCAATTGATTTTATAGATATTTATTTATTATAATAATAATAGATCTACCATGTCATTTTTGTTCTATTGAAATAGCATTGGCTACTGAGGAAGATTTATATGAGTTGAATTTTATACCCATGCTAACAATATTATTACAGATATATATATGATTTAAATAATATTGGATAATTGCATATTAATTTGTTTTGATCATCTCTGTTTTTGAGCTTTGCAACCTAGAATAAATTTTTAACAAATTTATTTCTTCTTGAAAAATTCTCCCTAATTTGTTGTCTAATATAAATTAAAGACATAATGATTTTCTGTTATAAATTTCAAAATACTTATTTTAGAAATATCAGGTTATCAATTCTAATTCTGATTTGTTAGACAGGACAACACTAAGCCGTATTGCTCTTAATGATGTTTACCTATCAATGAAAGCACATGTACAAGAACAAATTAACTCAGGGCCAAAATGCTCAATTACATTTGATATGTGGACAGATCAATACAGAAGAAGAAACTATATTACATTTACACTTCATTTAATAAATGATAATTTTGAAATGATTTACTTTACTTTAGCAACAATGATAATTTTGAAATGATTTACTTTACTTTAGCAACTATCCAAAAACAAACAGCTGAGACTATTCTAACTAAGATTGATAAAATAGAAGAGGAATTTAATTTAATAAAATAAATACAAATTGTCACAAATGCTGGGCCTAATGTTAGAAAAGGTGTTCGATTAGGTGAACACCACTTATGTTTGGGTCATGGTTTACAATATCTGGTTACAGTAGATGGCATTAAAAAGGTACCCTTTGTTGGAAATCTCATCAATAGAATTAGAGAAATTATTACTGCTCTAAGATATAAAACTGGTTGAATTTGAATTCGAAGATCAAAGAAAATGCTTAAGTACAATAGATTTAACATCAGACATGTTATATCTTGACAGCACTGATCCATACCCGGATATCCGTCTTCAAATTGGCAATTTCAATGATAATAATAACAATAATTCCACGCATATGAAAACCTTAAAATTAAATGTCCCAACATGTTGGCATAGTATATTAATTATGCTAGAAAGCATATCTGGATTAAATAAGAATTTAATTAATAATGTTTTGAAAAGAATTGGGAAGCACTTTTTCAAATTATCAAACTATGAATCTGATCTGGTAGAAGTTTCTTTCAAAATTTAAAGAAACTGTCGATTTTCTTTCAGTACAAAAGGGGCCTATTTTAAACTTGGCGTTACTTTTTAGAAGTGAAATTAAAACACATTTAATAGTAAATGATAGTGATAGTTCTGAAATCCTTTCAATTAAAGAAAATATCCTAAAAAAAACTTGCGCTACGATTTCCGGCTTGTAATCTGCAAGTAATAATATATAAGGATATTCTTTTATTTTTTATTTAAAACTATCTAGATATTGTGGCTTCTCTTTTAAATCCAAGATTAAATTGCTCAGCTTCAAAATTTATAATAAAACATCTTAAACTTATAGAGAATGATGATAATCAGGTAGTAAATATAGCTAATGAGGATTAAGGGGAATTATTAAATTCAAGTTATTAAATTAGCAAATAAACATTCAATAAATATAAATTGTGATTACAAGTTAGGTGACTTAGAACAAGAATGCCAGAGTTTTATTGGAGAGAAAAGAAGAGTGAACTTCCCAATCTTTACAAGCTCGCCAAAAAAATTGCATTTCGCCGACCAACACACCTAGTGAAAGAATTTTCTCTACCACTGGATTGATGTTAAATTCAGGGAGATCATCATTATGTCCCGAAAATTTAAATAAAATGATTTTTATACATGATAATTATATATTTTTATACATGATAATTATATAAATACGAAATCGGAATTTATAATGAGTTTTCTATTAAATAAATATTAAAAATTATGCCGAGATATCTGTAAGTAGTGTTATCTGTTTTTAAAAAAAAATTATTAAGCAATTAAAAAAAATTATAACTGCGCCAATTTACGCCGATATTGTTGACGGCAGCTAAAAATCGGTGTGCCAGGTCTACATATATGTAAAGGTAAATTAATAAAAATATTTTTGTTTTTATATGTATCAATGTGGATTTGTATATGTAAAGGATAATAATGGAGGGAGCCATTAGGTAATTTAGAATACTTTTTATTTTTCAAATTTTGGAGGTTTGATATTATTTTAGATCCAAAGTAGGGAGGAAAGTAGTTCATTGTATGCAAATATTGGGATCCTAAATTAGTGTACATATCTGAAATTTATGATTGATAAGTGAGAAGTTTTTCTGGGATAATGTTAAAGGAAAAAAATATATTAGGATATAATTTTAAAAAAAACACACATTTGACTGATTTAATTATTGTAAATATTCTGTCCAATCAACTACAATGATGGCGGATTAATGATACCAAGCCTTAGAAAGATCATGATTGACCAATGATGCTAAGCTATGACCCACTAACCTTTAAGATTTAACCCTCTATTGCGTACATCATATAGATATATATTTTAATATAAAATTTTTTACATTTTTATACACATGATGTATAATAGATACACATATATTTTATTTATTTCTATAATTAATTTTGTCAAAAATGAAAGACAGCTATCAATATAAAAATTCTAAAATACATAGTTTACAACTTTCGAATAGTTGCATTTTTCCCATTTTATAAATTATGCCATTTCCCTTATACAAATTTTTAAGGAACAGGAAGTTAAAAATTTTATTAAATAAAGGTAAAAGAAATGTTTTATATATAAATAGATTGTTATATTCATTAATTGTGTTTAAAATTTAAATTTTAAGGTACGTGTACCCACATACATAATGTGCACAAATGCTATATGAATTTGGCTTTTTTGATAATTTTTTTTATATTATTAAATGTTCTTTATTTGCTATCTATAGTCAAAATGTACTGTATTCCAGAAGGTAGTTTCTAACCTTAGTGGCTCATCAGATGAGGAAATTCTTGATTCAAAATCAGCAGATGTTGCTTCTAGCGGAAATGCGGTATTTCAACTATTGGTACCCCTACATTTCAATTTTAAATTGTGTTTTGATAATTGGTTCTGTGGTATAGAACTTCAAGTATTACTCGCCCAATAGGGAGTATTGCTACAACGAGAGCTAATAGAATTTATTATAATTGCCAGTTTCCAACTGAAAAGAATTGTAAAAGATGGAGCGTGGATTCACATAAGATCACGTAAAAGGTATCATCGTATAGTATTCCATATACTTAATATGATGCTCATAAATGGTTAATGTATAGACGAGATTTTGTAGCTTTAAAGGTACTGGTAAAAGAATAGAATTAATATTTCAATAGTAAATACTCTGTAAATGTAACAAAAATATATACGCTAACATGAAAAACGAGTATCAATTGACACCAAATATTAAGAAAATCTAGCAAGGGACCGACAAGTCTTATTACACAGAAAAAAATAAGACATAATTTAATAAATTGGCCAAAATATAGTAAAAAGGCGCGATGCAAAAATCCTGGATGTAAATTTGTTACGAAAGTGATTTATACCAAATATGGTGTATCATTATGTTTTACTACAAAAAACGATTGTTTTAAATTATTTCATGAAAATTAATATAAATTTGTTTTGTTACATTATTTATCAAATAATAAATTTATATGTCTTTATTTTATAATTGGTTTGGAATTGAAAAAATATGATACATTTTTTTAAAAGTTTATTAAAAGCCCTTTAAAGACAAAAATAATTTTTTAAAATTATATCATTTATTGATATGTCCCTCAATAGAAGGTTAATGACAATCAACAGTACAATATCAATCAAGCTATGATCTACTAACCGTTAAGATTTAATGACAATCAACAGCACTTGGCAACTATTATGTATGGTTAAGAAAAAATATGGAGCTTCCTGGAACAGAAAGAAAATAACTTAATTTTTACAGTTTTTATATCATTTATCGAATTTATGGATACTTTTATTTGGATTATATTTATAAATACGTAAATTGTGTTCTTTACTCCAGTTTGATTATTCAAGAAAGGGTGGGGGGGGGCGTGTAATATCTGTAGATTTGTAATTGACATTTATGGGGGGGGGGGGCGTATAATATCTGTAGATTTGTAATTGACATTTATGAACATTTTTTTAAATTTTCTGGAAGAAAAAGATGGACTTTTAATTTTCTTTGTTTGATTTTTAAACATTTTTAATTATATTATGGAATTAATAAAAATAAAAGGTTAATTATTCAAGCGAGAATGAAAATGAGATTAATTTAGATGTTCTATAAATCCAGAAAATACACATTAAAAGATCAATGAAATATTGGGTTATGCTAATATTTTTATAATGTAATAAGTTTCGCTAAAGATGAATATTGGGAAAACATTTTTTAGGTATCAGATCGATTTTATCCCATAACTTCACTAAGCATCAAAGGAAAAATAAATAAAAGGGATATAAATTTTACATCAGGTGGTTGTTCGTCACTTGTTCCTAGCCGAGGCATGTCGATGTCAACGGTAATGGGAGTTTTTAAAGTTTGGGCAGCCACCTTACTTTCCTGTAAATCTTTCAGAGCCAAAGCGACCTTTATAAAAAACATAAGTTATTGTATTTATATAAGTTGAAGAAAGTAATAATAATCTTAGAAAATTTATGGGATATTATTATCCGATTTGTTAAAGTATCTCCTTCTCCGTTTAATGGGGAATTTCCGGGTTTACCCAGATTGGCCTGATTTTTTCCCCCATTTTTACGGTCCTGAGCATCAGTATTAGTAAGATTCATCTTTTTCATATTCGCCGCTATCACCTTTATCCACGTCATCTTAGGCCTTTCTCTAGGTCCTACTTCCATCAAGTTGCGTCTCTTTACCCAGTCATCTTTTGTCTTATATTCCACATGCCCAAACCATCTTAGTCTATTTTTTTGCATAACCACTCCAATCATTTCTACATCCATTCTTGCTCGCAATTCCTTGTTAGTTTTTCTCTCTCAGAGATACCCCACACATCCATCTAATCATCCCCATCTATGTTCTTTCCAATTTGGCTTCTAAGCAACTCCTCACATAATTTACATAAACTTTACTCTTTAACTTCAGAAAGAGGTTTTTATTCGTTAAAGTATCTAGATATAAAAATGTGGTATCTGTATCTAGATACACTTTTATAAAAAGTAGTTGAATCTATATCTAGATACTATTTTCGAAGTATCTGTATCTGTCTTTAAATATGATACATTGATCTTTTATTTTACACTTCTATTAAATGTTTGAATGCAAAATCCATTTTATTTCATATGGGCATATAATTAATAAATAAAATAATTTAAAAAAATATTCAAACGTATTTATTATTAAAACTTATATATAAAAAAATATAAATATTCATTAAATATTATTATTTTTCCCCAAAATCTATAAATATCAGTTCAAGATTGTGAAGGATATTTAATAATGTAAAGGAATATATAAATCTTTGCTTAGCCATGATGCCCATTAATTAGAAAAATAAAAACCATTGATGCATAATATTATTTTCGCAAATAAATTTATATTGAATTTTTAAAATAATTTTAGATATTCTTGACCTTTAATGAAAAATTATAAGTTTAATGTAAAATTATTATTTTTTGTTAAATGCTTGTTTTAAATGAAAATTTATTTAAAAGAACCATAAAAATAGGGGTATTGACATTATTTTTATTATTGTCTTGTTCGAGTAGTGAGAACAAAATATAAAAATATTGTTCATATATTTTATGCTGTCATAAGAGTTTTTATTTAAGAACAACGGCGAACCCTGTATATAAGTATGATAAAAATTGTATCTATATCTAGATACGTTCTTAGATAATGCACCTGTTCTAGATACATTTTTAGACGATGTAATGTATCTAAATCCATTTAAAAAATATCTTTTAACAACTGATTATCATATTAATTAATAAAAATATTTATTATGGCAAGCCAATTATAAATTTACGTGTTTATTGACATCGTCTTTCGAAAACATATGAAATGATGTTTCTCTTCCCACGATACCAATCTGACAATTCTTTAAATATTTATTTAAAAAAATAACTACATTTAATTTGTATATTTAACTTTGTCATTCAATTCCATTTCACTAGGCAAGGTTTCTTTTAGAGCTTTTATGGCGTGTTCAATCAAACAATTATAATCACCTAATTTATAAAAATAATGAAATTTGAAGATAAAAAAACTACAAAATAAAACAAGATAAATAAATAATCAATCTAAGAAAATAATTTTACATATTAAAGATGTTTAATAAATAAGTTGGAAAAATTTTTATGAAAAATAAATAAGTTGGTAAATCTAAATATCAATAAAGTTTTGTATGCAATAAAAAATATTATATTCTGTGCAGTTATAATGCATCATGAGATAGCAAATATAAGATAATTGAAACACATGTTAGTGTTATTAAACATTTTCATTTTAGTTATCAATTTATCAGTTATATCTAGTATTCATAATTTTGAGACAGCAATAAATTTAAATAAGAATTATTTTATTATTTAAATGTTTTCTTTTAAAATTTTGTTGTTAAAGGAAATTTTATTCCAATTATAGTTACATATTTTATAAATATATTCATCAATTTATGAGTTCAGCCACCGTTTTTATTATAACTATCATATTTATGTATGCCATTTTGCGCTCTCTCCCTAACATATGTAACTGCCTGAATTTGGGATAAAGGAACATAGATAAAATGATATTTATCTAAAATAAATTTTTGCCCTAAAAGGTATATTATATTTTGAATATTGAGTGTTTCATTGTTGCTTTAAATTTTTTTTTTTAATATTAAATAATTTTTTATTTTAGATGATATACAAAGGACGATGAATCTCATTAAAAAACATATTTTAATTAACTATAATACATTGATAAAATATAATAATTTCATATTAACAACTATATCTATAATCAATATAAAAATATACAATTAAAAGAAGGGGTATTAAAAAATTTTTTTATATAGATATGGTTGGCGGGGCTTATGACCCATGTATGGATATGCAGTTGGAATGACAGATTTCGATAGATATTCTGTGTCGAAGGTAGAATCCTTCTTTTCAATCACCTATGGATAAACGTAACCTTTGCCCTATGTTTTGAATAATTTAAGGGTTTGGAGTCCAAATGATACACAGGTGTCTGAGACTACTGGAACGAACGAAACATTATTAAGGTGGCAATATTTATTGGTTTTTGTATTCTCCGCTTTCGTGATGGAGTTGGCAGAAAAAGATTTGGCAAAACGATCTACGCATGTATAATCCCAAGCGAGGGGTAAACCTTGGTTCCAAGGGACTAGCGTCATTCCATCCTGTCTGGTTTGATTATTGTAGCTTAGGCCAGTGGGTTCCAGCGAAGAGGGAATATTTATGGATTTCAGGGTTCTATTGATGATTGAATTAGTCTACCTTTTGAGAAACGACAGTGTAGGGGGTGGTGTCCAAGACTATCAATGTGAGTTTCACAAAAGGACACATGTTGTAGGCGTTACGATTTCGCAGCCTAAGCGTAGACCAATAGCTATTCTGAGTTCTTCGTTGTAAATAGCAAGCTTAGATTAGAGCTAGGTATAGTTTCTAACCATTCATATCCCAGGTGGCATGTGGATGGGACTGGATATATTTGATCTGGAGAAAAAGTCGTATTGTAGTCATTATGTATAATTGGGGTTAGGATTAGGTGAAGAAAAAGAGATGGAGATTTTCTTTGAACAGCTTTGAAGTATAAGTATTCGACGCAATGCTGTATCAATGGCAAATTCGAGTCTCTGTCTTATAGAATATGGATATGGGCAGTTTGGGGCATTTTTGCTTCAGAGGTCTAATGCTACCATATGATGTGGGTCGATAGTATCCAAGTCTCCAAGTGTAAATCGAAATTTAGCAACAGAGGATAGAAAGACTGAAATGCTCAAGGATATGGGGGATTGGATAACTATACCTCCTAGTTTTGGAGGAAGGGTAGCTTGCATCCAGGAGAGTGATGAGAATTTGATGTTCAAAATATATTTAAGAGTATTTTTTAAATAGACTTCGAGATCTATTAATATTTCGGGGGAAGTGAAGATTGTTGATGAACGGGTATGTAAAATCTTTGGGATGAATAAAAAGCCTGATGAGCAGGCAAATGTTTTAAAATATTTTTCAATCTATTGAATTTGACTAAGAATTCATCTCTGAAATGAGATATAGCATTTTCCCCTCCAAGGTGAACCTAGATGGGTAAAGTTAGCTTTGTCCATTGATATAAAATTTTCGGGTGGGCAGTCCTATTCAGAAGGGGAATAAAATTCACACTTATGAGGATTTAGTGACAGTCATGTAATAGGGGCTAAGTGATTTATAATTGATAGAATTTTTATGATTTTGTTATAAGGGCCTGCTAGTGTGCCATCGTCCAGGTACAATACATTTAATTTAAGATCACAATTGATTATTAATTGAATGCCCTTGCATAATAATGGCGGACCTAAAGGGTCTCCTTGTTGGATGATTTAGAAAGAATGATAGAATCATTAAATTTTAAAAAGGTGGGTTGGTTGTAACATGCAGCGATGTATGTTGTATAATCTGGGAAAATTTCACAAAAAGAGGGTATAAAATGTTCTCTTCTAAGTGAATTGAAGGCATTATGTAGGATTTTGAGAATGTATTGATCATGTGTATTATGGAGGATGACACGTGTCGAGTGGGATACAGCTTCACATCCTTCAGGAACATTAAAACCAATCTGGTTTGGTTGTAGTAGATTGGAAAGTTAGATTTTATACAAGAGCAAATTATTTTGGAAATTATTCGCCAGAAGAGTGACCTTATTAAAATAGGTCTGATGTCCCCATTGGTTTTATTTAAGGATATTATGCAGGCTCCAAAAATGATGGGCTTAATGGAATTAGGTATATTATTATGAAAGATATGATTGAGCAATATGGTAAATGTTTAATTATATTTTGAAGATAAATGGCTCAAAAGCCATCAATGCCTCCAGAAGAATCTTTTTTGAATGCCATGATTGCATCCAAGATTTCCATCTCGGTTAGTGGAATAGGATTATTAGATGGTGGGAAGATGATTTGTGAAACTTGAGGATGTTTAGATTGCATGGCCATGAGAGTTTTATCATCATTAGGGGCCATAGTATCACTGGAACAAGCTAAATTGATAGCTGAATTTACATTGCACAAGTTGATTTTATTTTCAATAAGTTTGGCCTTTTTTTTATCTGTCAAAAGCTTATTTTTTTTATCTGTCAAAAGCTTATTGAAAGAATGTGGAGGTTGTTTGGGAATATCAAAATAATTAGTGTCATTTGAATTTAATGTTATTTTGATGTTTTGTGTTAAGTTTGATTTTGATGTTGGGAGATGTAGATTTAAATATATAAGTGATAATAGTTTAATCCAATTATCTAAGCTTTTCATATTTTTATTTAGGGAGATTAAAATAGTTTAAAAAAAATTGTGAAAATAGAATTCGAGCACCTTTTGGAATGTGAGCTATTGTGGGTGGGAGACTTTCTTTCATAAATTTAGCCATTCTTGTGCCTCAGCAATAGAGGTTGAATCAATGTTATTATCTGTGCATGAAGATATAGTTGTAGGGATTGTTTCTGTGTTGAAGATATTGTTGGAACTTGAAATTGTAGGTATTGGTTCCAAATTAATACTATTAATAAGAGCAGGATAAGATGGAGGCATAACAGGATTATTGTTGTTAAAGAAAGTCCCTGATGAAGGGCATCTGTTGGCACGTTTACCATGACTAATTTTATTTCCTTTTATTAGGGATACATTGTTATTGCAAGTGGGGCATAACACCATGGTTCATATTATTTTTACATATGATTATGATTAAAGTTTATTATATATTGAAAGATTCTTGATATGCAAAACAAAATTTATCTTAGTTTCAATCAGAGTCAGATAATTTGAATACTATTTTAGTAGAAATATTTTTTAAGAATCGAAAAAATGGAAATAGGAAATATAAGCGAATGAATACATATTGTTCTATGATGATGCACAATTTTTAAATATACCTTATTTATTTTTAATATTTATAGATAATAATGACGATTAAAAATATTCGGCCCTGTCTGGGTATTTTAAAAAAACAATTCTTAGGCCAGGCCCGAGTTTTTTAAAAAAATTTAGACCCTGCCTGGTTATATTTTAAAAAAGTAAATATACGGTCGACCCGGAATTAGGGCTGGGACTGATATATATCTTATAAATACAAACCTTTTTATAAATTTAAATATGACATATTTTTAGAATTTTAAGTTTTGAGACTTTTTTTCATTTTTAAGAGCCATGATAAGTAAATATTCATTTTAAAACATTTGTATTATAATTTATACACAGATTTTTATTATTCCATATCATATAAAATAATGACAAAAAAATCAATGTAAACATCGGTATTAGTGTTGTTTGAAATAAAAGATTAAATGGGTTGCAACATTTTAATATTTGATGCGTCCATCTGTGATATAGAATAAAATTTTAATTGTTCTGCACCTAGAATATATGTTTTTGCACTATCCAAATCCCTAAAATAATAAGTTGCAGACGGGTTGAATTATTTAAAATTAATCTGAACGGACAAGTTAAAAATATTACGCAGAAAGAGATCTTTTTAAACAGTTTATTTGTAAAATAATATACTAGTAAAATAAAATCGATAATATGCTTAATAAAATATTCGTTTTTACTGTAGCTGTTATACATTATAACAGCTAATAAGTCATTCGCTATAGTGTCAAAGTAGAGATCTAAAAAGAACTGGAAAATTTTATCATATTGCTTATAAACGTATTAATATTTTTCATCCATTAGGGCCATCTATTTTTTCTTCAATATTTGGTAAAAATGTATATTTCGGAAGAGTCGATAGCATCGCCAAGGTTTTGACATAGTATATATATTTATAAAAGGTGTCTAAATAAAAAGCAAAAAAAAATTTCGAAAACAAACTCCCTTTTTTGCTTAAAAATACAGGTAAAGCATTATAGGTAAACCGGAAATTAAAGACTCGTATTGGCGCCAATCTTTATTATTTTTTAATAGCCCTTTAGAGATTTTTTTACTTACAATTTGATATATTATATATTTTTTTACTTTAAATAGTTTTTGAGATATAAACATTTTAAAAATTTTACAGATTCCAAAGTGGCCCATTTTTGCACGTTTGAGCCCCTATATTTCGGGAACCAGGTGTGCTAGCAAGTTAAAATAAACGGCTTTCATTTATTTACTTATCTAAATAATTCCAGAAATTTTTAACATTTTAAAAGGGGTCGGCCAAAAATGTGCCTTTTTTGATCGATTTGACATTGGGATGGCCCAAATATCCACATCTTGTATCTTATTGTTATTTTTAATAAGATACTTGTATTTATAAAGAATCTGTATCCATATTTCATGAAACCACCCACTCTGAACATTATAATAAATGAATTCTAAACAAATATTTAATTTCTTGTAGCATAAATGTAGAATAGAAAAACGTTTAATACTTATTTTATAAGAGTTTTTTTAGTCATAAACAAAAGCTTAAAATTATCATTAACAAGCAATTTTTAATTAAAGGATCGGATAAGCAAAAAAATTGTCTATCGGCCTTACATTGAATGAATAAAAATATATTTTTTACAAATTATTAACTTTGATTTATCTCTTTAGTGTACTTTTCCAAATAAGTCCTGGCAGCTTGCGACCTGGAACCAATAGCCATTGATTTGCAATCATAATAATTTGCAGATGGGCACAATTGAAAAACATGAGGGCCGACACTCTACATAAAATGTTTATTTATATATATAAATTAAATCATTATTTATTAACATATTCACAAAATATTTTCTTTTTTAATCAAATATATTTAATATCTCAAGTGAATGTCATCAATATTTGATAGTTTTCTATAAAAGAATGATTTCCTTAAACGCCTACTTTCAGGTTTTCAAATAATCTCTTGATTACTTTCCAAAAAATATATAACAAAGGCATAGGATATAATTGAAAATTTTGTTCGAAAGAATGGTAAAATAGTTATTTATTGACATTTTTTATCTATGATGTTCTTGAAACGAGATATATAAACAATGTTGTTTACATAATATAAATTTCTGTTCGAAAACAATAGAAAACCCCATAACTGCATTAAAAATGAAATTTAGAAATTATATTAAGAACAACATTTGATCATTTTATAAATATGTGCCATATTTATTATATTATTTACAACAGGATAAATCGAAATCAATTAATATCTATATTTAATATTATCCACAATAACATGTTCATACATTCTATTTATAAATAAATAACGGTGTAGCCGAGGGAATAAGAAATTCAAAAACTTTTCCCTTGGCAAATTTGAAAGTTAATAAATCTTTTAAATTTAGTGCTGTAAACATTTCTAAAAAAATCGAAGGCGTTCATGTTCACTTTCAAAAAAAGGCACGCGTTCACTTTTGTTTAAAATTTTATGATAAAATTTTTTTTAAATTTAATTTATAAATAAATTATCCTATATTTTAGAACACAATATATTAGACATGTTAAAAATAATAGCGAATAAAAAGATATTTTTATTTATAAAAAATTTCTCTTATTAATTATTATTTCAATTGTTTTAAAGATTTTTATCTGATAGAACGCTTGGCAGTTAATACGGCATTAACTATACTAAAAACGCGCTCTTCATGGGCAGATGAGGGGATTGAAGTATTATACTTAATAAAGAATTCTTTTAAAGTGGGGAACTTATTAAAAACATTTTTTTGTCCTTTGCTTCAAAAATTTGAGATAGGTTATCCTCTTCCAATCCATCCTCTACTTTCCCGTCAAAAAAAAGGATATCTCGAAATTAACAGTTCTTGCATTATCATTTCTAGGGTTTTGAATGCATTTTCAAAAACGATATAAGTTTATTTTTTATAGGTTTATTCTGTGGAATTGAAGTTTGAATACTGGATGTATAATTGAAAAAACTTATTGATCTTATTATATATATATATGTTCAAATCTTTAAAAAAATAAAATATATGTATAATTAATTTGATAGCGATAGGTTTAATACCTTTTATTAATCCCATTTAATACTTCGTCTATCAATGTTTGACCATATTTTAGGACACTAATTTTTTTAATTTTAAAATAACTATCGTTATTGTTGGCGTCAAGTAGCCCAAATGCATTTTTTCTTCAAATTTAATGACTTTACTTAGTTATATTATATTATAAAAAATATTTAATATTACAATCAAATGTCGTTTTAATTTGGAACTTGAAGATTTTTAAACTGATATAATACTTTTTAGGCATATTTTATATATGGTAAATATTGTATTTCCTTTTATAAGATGTTACTGTAAAATATTTATCATATTTGGGCCATGGTGTTAATTCATCAATCAGATGATGATGTGAAATAATAATATGCTAATCTATTAATTAAAATATAAACAATAATATCAAAATTAATAAACTATAGTAATGGCATGTTAAAAAAATTGAAATGTGAAAAAAGAACAGTTGATTATAAAATATAAGAGTTTTTTCTTAAAAAATTAGAAGGAACGCGTTCACGTTCAAAGTTCGTCAAAAATAAAAGGTACGCCGTTCATCATTTTTTTCAAAATAACGAACTTCGTTCAAGAATGTTCGTTTACAACACTATTTTAAGTAAAATTATTAAATTGAATAACTTTGCAAATTTTATTTTCTTGCATATATTAAATATTTGTAATCGCTAATCCTAAGTTTACCAGAAAAATTAAAACACATCTTTTGCCATCAGGGCTGAAAATAAAGGTGTGGAATTTTTTTCATTATCTCTATAATTTGGGAATAAAGGTAGCCATATTATATAAAAATTCATTGAACTTTCAGCCATCATATTATAAAATACTGCAAGTGACCAAGTTGGAATTATTCTCTTGACATTATAACAGCCTACCATTATATCCATCGTATCGACTCCGCTTTTGTCTAGTATAGGATAGAATAACTTCTGGTTTGTTTATAGCATTATCAATATTAATTTGGAATAGCATTATGCTAAAATTATTTGAGATTTTTTTGGATAAATTAAAGCTTGCATCACCTTGAGATCCAAATAAAGTTGAAATTGCCGTTATTTTGAAGTGAACACCTATGGTAATTATAATTTATTCTTCTAATCGTATTCTTTTTGAGGTCATGATTATCTCGCTAGTGATAAACTTCAAGTTATATTTTTTCCGACCTTAAATTTCAGAAACGAGATTTATTGTAATTTTTGCTCCAGTTTTCACACCAATCTTAATTTGTTTCCTTACCTTTGTATATATATATATCCATTTCAGAATCACAAATTCTACCTATTTTGATTCCAATTATGGTTTAAAAGGATTATATTGCCCAAAAAGACATCTTCGAGCAATTTATAAGTTACTCTGAGTTAACATCATCAACAGAGTTATTAAGAATTGAATTCAGCATTAAAACGAAATAATTTAGAAAAAATGAAGACTGCAAAGTATTAATTTTTCGTGAAATATTTTAGTTTATAAAAAAATTTTAATACGCTAATTAAAAGAAATAAAAAATAAAAATATCTTATATAATCTAAATAAATGACCTAAAAAAACTGATGTGAAAAAGGTTTTAAGTGGCCTTAAATGTTGAAATGAAAGTAATGAGTGAAATTTAAGCGCAAACGGATAAAGATACCTAATAAAGAAATTTAAAAAATTTAATAAAAGTATTAATTATAAAATTTTACTGCAAAGTCGATTCGACCCTGCTGGCAAGAGATGCAACTTTTTAATATTGACTGTTCCCGTTTGAATTTCACCGAAAAATTATATCAAATTATTCTTTAAACTAAGTCATATATAATATTATTTAAAATAATAATATATGGATCTTTTTACAATTAAAACAAAATATAAACAGCCATAAAGACTTTTCTGGTATACTGGGGTTAAATAATTTAAGGAGTTGGTAGTTATTGTGTTATTTTTTTGATTTTTTATATAAGCATGAATGCCAAGTATCGAATCATGAAATAAATGGTATTGGTGCATCAGTGTTTATATTTCCAGAATTTAAACTAAGAATCATAAGCTTTTCATTACAAAATAAAAGACTATACTTACATCATAACCACATACCAACAAGCCTACACCATAAGGTCTTCTGCCATATCTCTGGGTGTTTACCTGCATTTCTATATCATATTAAAATGTAATTTTTTTCTCATATTTTTCAATTTATTAAAATTTACTATTGCAAGCTTTTCTGACTAGTCTTTCGATTGGCATAGGGTTGGTATGATCATAACGAAACATCAAGCATTCATTGAGCATGTATTTGCTAATAAGTCGATTTTTTAGAATAATGAATACAATATCATTTAAATGAAGATAAACTACTTATTAAGCTTTAAAGATTATTCGATTTACACATTTAAAATCTATGTAAAAAGATGTTTGTATTGTAGATATTTATGTAACGGATGAAAATAACACATTTTAATATAAAAAAATGTGTAATATTTATAAAAACGAATTATTCGAATTCTCTTTTGAGATCTGTCGATTTAACTTCCTGGGCATCCACTTCTCCCTTGGATGATTCCATTCCACATCTTTCTAAAAAAATTATTTACCTAGTCACTTTTTTTGGCAACTCTTTGAGAAACTTTTTTAGTCATTTTATTTAAAATATTTTTTATATACCCATAATTCTTATACTTTTACAATGTTTTGTATATAAAATATTTCAGTAAATTTTTATCATATGTAAAACCATCTACAATATAAACAACATTGTCTTATGTAATTTTTTTATGTTCATTTATTTAATTTTAGTATTAATAAGGGATCGGTTGTTTATATTTTATTTTTATATAAATATATTTTTTTAGAAATCTTTTGAAATATTTATAAATTATTTTTAAAAATTATGTAGGAATCTTTTAAATAAGTTGTAAAAGATTTTTGATTGCCCCGGTAATGATTAAAAAATATATTGCCTTCCGAGTTTTAAATAGTTTATTGACTTGTGGTTAGGGTATCCAAATATATTTTTTCTGTACAAAATTTTATCTCAGATATAATCAATTAAAAAGAACAAATTATTTCCACCATCGAGTCCATCTCTCGCGTTTTGATGATCCTGATGACAGATCCATCGACAACCAGTGACGGAATTTAAAGGAAAACTGTAAAATATATGGGGATAAAGATAATATTAATTAATATCTACTTTTTTGAAAAATATGGATTAATACTTCGTTTTAATATTTTTATATATTTCATTAATGAGTGTATAAATTTTAATACTATATTTCGATTTAATGAATAAAATTGTCAATTTATTTTCTATACCAATATATTTTATCTTCTTTCATCATGAATTTAATTGATAATACCAAAAATTTACACTACCTATCATAGCCTACCCTCAGTGGCGATCCCCCTTCCCCAATGAAAAATTTTTCCATTTTAAATTTACTATTTCAAAAACAACGAATTCATATCTATAATTCAGGATAAATTTAAAACATTTCTAGAAAAATTTTAAACATAAATTTAAGCTCATTCAATTGGTCACTTGCTCAGCTACTTTCTAAACTAGGTGGTTTAGATTTTTTGCCACTCAATCTTTTATACTTAACATCATTCGTATCATCTATATTATTAAACATTTCTATGATTTCTGGCTTCATATGCCCTGCTGATCGTTTTTTAGATGACGCAATTGACAAATGGAAGGCAAATATACCCATTAACACTGACTTACCATCAATCATCACACACAAAAATTTTTCACACCCTTAATCTCGAAATAAACAGATATATCAGTCAATCCACCTTTAGATTGCATTCAACTCCTTCAATTATGTGACAGACTTGGTGGTCATGAATGGTTAGAATCACTCCCTAGTCGTAACCTTGGTAATCTCTTATCAGATGAACAACTGAGAGTAATTATTGGTTTATGCTTAGGTTATGACATCGTACAGCCTCATGCTTGCATCAAATGCAAATCACCCGTCGATTCAAAGGGTAAGCATGGCCTTAATTGTATATGTCAAGGTCGACACCAACGCCACATAGCAGTAAACCATGTAATAAATAGAAGCCCAACAGCTGCCCACATTCCGAACAATCTGAACCAACAAACATATCTCAAGTAGATGGCTTAAGGCATGATGGTATGACAACCATAACTTGGGCCCTCGGCAAATCACTTATATGGGATTACACATGTGTCTCGTCATTCCCCTCAAACATAAATATCAATCTAATAATACAGGCAAAAATTAAAAAGACCAACAAATATAAAAATTTTAAAAACTTTATATTCACTCCAGTAGTGACCTCTACGAACGGGCATTTTACGTCATCAATATTTAAGTTTTTAAAAAATCTAGGAAATAAAATACGGCTTTTTCAAATGAACCCAGAGAATTTCTTTATATTCGCCAAAAAATTCAAATTGAAATTTTTAGACACAATTATGGTTCTTTTTGGAGACTTAATTATAGAATTTTATTTTTAATTATATATTTAGACATTATAATTTTTAACTATGATTATGTAAAATTTGAGCAATAAAAAATTAGTTTTATAATTGATAATAAATGCTTGAAATTTAAATATTTACTATTTTTATGTTTATAATTTATTATCTAATATATATAATCGTCGTAATTAAGAAATAAACGTTTTCGTATAATCTTAATTTTAATTTTTTCTATCAACTTTCCTATCATCTTAATGTTCAATAAATCGAAGGAGACTATATATCTCTCTAATGTTAAATTATTTTTTTTTAAATGAAAGCTTTTTTAAAAAAATTTTCTTATACATCAACGAGATTCGAACCATTGACTTAACGTTCGATAGGCAAACGTTCTTTCCAGTCACCCTTCTTATATATTAAATTTTGAAAAACAATTCTTCTTATATATGAAACTTTATTATGATAAAGTAATTTAAATATTTTTATTTGAAGCTCCAGGCTTGAAAAAAATTTTAAAATTATATCGATTGGGGTTTGAGAAAAATTTTTTAAAATTATAATGGGTCGGGCTAGGCTTGGAAAATATTTTTATAAATTATATTGAGCTACGCTTGGGGAAAATTTTTCAAATTGTTATCTGCTTGGACCCTTGGGAATTTTTTTTATTAGTAACTATGGATCAGACATAGACCTAAAACAAACAAGGCACATAAAATCTGATTTTTAAATCATTATGATTTTTTAAAATATTTTATTCCAGTTCTCATCTCAACTACCAAAATTATTATGATCTTTGGTTGGGGTTGGGGAAATTTTTTCAAAATTATTATGGCCGACCTTGCTTGGGAATTTTTCAATATTAAATATTAGGCATAGATGATAAATAATATTTTAATAAATAATATTGATATGGGTATCAAGTAAAAGCTTTAAATATATTTTGAACAAATAATATTGATATGGGTATCAAGTAAAAGCTTTAAATATATTTTGACTCAAAATAGAGCATATAGTTTTAATGGATTGGACTGGCCTGAAGGTGGGAGGGGGTTATAAATAATAAATTGGATATTATTTTTAAATAACAGGCAACTATCATAAAAGTAAGGAGAAAATTGTCATTCCCCGTAATTTTTGACGGCTTAGCAATGCTGACTAACGGGAGCTCTGGTACTCATAGTTATATATTTTTTATTTTGCCCTTCAAGAAAGACGGGTCATCATACTTTTCTCCCTTATTCGATGATAGATGAATAAGAAATTAAGAATAGAGGTGTGGTGATTCACAAATTTACCTCTTTTTCGCCTAAATTTTAATATTTTTACAAAATATATTAATAAAGTATATTTAGTATCATATACACAAACTAATTACCCCTCAACCCCGTCATTCTTGACGGTGTAATAAATGAAAGTCTTAAAAGAATAATAATAATTAAATATATATAACCATAACGTTATTGCATAATTATAAATAATATAATAATAATTATACAGTGAAAACATAATAAAATTAAAAATTTAAAAGAAAAATTAAAAGAAAAATTAAAAAGAAAATAAAAAAGATTAAAAATTAAGAAATTTAAAACGAAAAATAAAATGTGAATAAGGGTGCATTCACAGTAGAGAGCGACAGCGACACGACAAACACGACACGACATTAAGCGACAGAGCAGCTGATGTGTCGTAAGCGACATAGCATTCATAGTAGTAGGAGGCAAACATATTTTTATTTTTTTAAAAAAATGGTGTGAATTACAACTTTAAAATTAATCCTCTTATATCGAGCAATGAAAAGACGCAGAAAAAATAACCTAAATGTTAGAAAAGAAGAGGAGGATCGCTCTCTACTGTGAATGCACCCTTAGACTATGTAAATAAGATGAAAACGCGTTATAATTGTAGATTTTTCATACTTTAAGGGATTAACAATTGGAGTTAGGGTGCATTCACAGTAGAGAGCGACAGCGACACGACAAAATACAAATATGTGTAAATACCAATGACTATTCATAGTGAGCTTTTGCGACGCGACACGACAATCCCGCCAAATTTGTCGCATTAAACATAAAAATCACATTACAAAACATTTTGTTATTTTCAAAGCGACAAACTATAATATGGCCAAAATACAAAATTTGCAAGTAAATTTTTGATTATAAAAATATCATATATATATTTTTTAGGATATAAATAAAGAAGAGTTGATCAACTCTGTTAGATTTTACCCTTGTCTTTATGACAAAAGATCAATTGGGTATAAAAATACCCAGAAAAATAATTACATATGGAAATCTATAGCAGCAGAAAATAGTATTGAGACAGATAATTAAAGATTATATTAATTTAAAATATTCTTCTTTTACAGTAGAGATAGCTAAATCTACATGGAAGAATCTAAGAGATTCTTTTTTGAGGGAACATAAAAAGTTGAAATGTTTAAAAAGGGGGTCAGGGGCTGATCACAGTCCTACCTGGAAATTTTATAATAATTTAACTTTTTTGATTCCCACTATAGAATCTGGGAAACAATACACCAACCTGAAAAAAATAAAACCTCTTATACCTAATATTGGTGAAGCAAACATTGCTAGAGCAATGTTTGAACAGATGAGTGGAAATTTCCAATATGAAGATGGTAAATATACTAATTTTTGTTAAAATTTTTATTATTATATAGCTGTTGAAATTGAATGTGTAGAGACTAGTCAGAGTCAATCTACAGATGTTAGGAAAATATTTTATATAAATAATAATATTATATATTTAGCATCACCATCAACTAGTGAATCTTATGTACCTGGCAAAAAGTTAATTAAAAAGAGAGATATTGATCAAGGTAA